GTAATCGAAGCATGGCGGAGATGGAAAAGAGTCCAAGCCTTCGAGTGCTCTCAACCATGAATGCTGCCTGAAAGCTGGATGCACTGCCCCACATTTTCGATGCCTGAGCAGCTCGTTCGATTGGCACACCTGCAGCACCTCATTAGCGATACGCCGGGGGCAGATGCTCACACAGGCAAGCTGAAGAACCAACACTGGCTGCCAGCTTTTCCAGTTTGTCCGAGAGCAGCACGCATAAGCATATACCTTGCGTCTGCAAGTGCTGGATGTGCTGGGTTGGACCGAAGCAAGCGGGAATGCACATCCAAAAGCCAAGCTGCAGGATGATGTTGTTGTGGGCAACTATAACGAGCGTGTCAGAATCACTAGCCTGGCAGTGGCCAAATCTCAAGGAACGCCGTGACGAATGTGCGCCTTTGCAGAACATAATCCCACGCTGGGGCCTCTGGTGTGACAAACAAGCGGTTGAACACATCTTCGGCGCGGAAAGGCTTGTTGGTCGGATCCTCCAAAGAATGCATGTCTACAGACTTTCCTGAGGCTCTGCGGCCAACGGCTTGGTGTGTGCGCAGACGGATGACCCAAACGATCCACCCTGAGACGCTCTTTCGGCGTTGAGGGTCGGGCAGTCTCACGCAGCAGGTCGGCATTCCTGGGCTAGTGCAGACAAACTTTGCTGTTTTCTGTGTCCGTCTGAAGAGGCGCGGAAGTGCGTGAAGGCAGTTAGGGCGCGTCCAAACGAACCCCAAATAAGCGCAGCCAAGACTCCACACCTCCAGGTCCTGGACGTGAACGGGCAGCTTGGCTGCAGTTTCACGCGCTCGCCTGTCTCCACGCCGCTAACACTGCGGCCCAACCGCTAGCGACTTCTCTTATGACAAAAACTCATGTGCAAGCAACCTGGCCTACTGGTGCTATGCAGCAAGGCTCGCTTTGAGGGCAACTTTCCTGCGGCAAACAACCTGAGCGGAAATCTGACCAGCCGAGCACATGGACACTGGAAAGACGAAAGCTTCGGTCGTGTAGGTGGACAGGTTTAGTGACACTTGTACCTCTCAGTGCACTTGTCCGTTCAGATGAGTCCGTCTCGATGCGCAGTGTCGAAGGTGCTGAGCGCAATACTGGCTGATGAAACGCGCTGTGTCCTCGTCAAGGCGGCATCATTGCGCATTGCACTAAACGGCTCAAGATGCAAGCGCTTCTCTTCTCCAAAAGTCCTCAGCCTGCTTGTGGCCATGTTGGGTGAGCTCCTTCAGCTCATCTCGCTCGCCTTCATGGCAGCATTGGCCATGACGTAGCATCAGGATCACCCGCCGACCTTGTCAGGGTGAATGCAGAGAAACCAAGGACCAAAGAAACACGCACAGAATCAGCCCATCATCACCTGCATGCATCAAGGCCCGAAAAGATGGAGGTGACGGTTTGTTGGTCAAGATCGGCTTGGAGCTTGGTCGCATACTTCTCTGCTCGTATGTCAGTGAAGGGAATGGTGGCGGTGGTGGTCAAGATGGGCGGCAGTGGTGGCGGAGGTGGTGGTGCTGCTGCTCTGCTGCTGCTGCTGCTGCTGCTGCTGCTGCTGCTGCTGCTGCTGCGGCTGCTGCGGCTGCTGCCAAGTTGTGAGGTGTGTTCGAGACCGAACCAGAGCCCAGAGCAAGCATTTACTTGGCAAAGTGAGTCGTAGGTTAGGGTTGCGGCGTAATTAGTGTCATGCCACTGCTGCGCTACACCATGCGGGAGAGTTTGCGCAGGATCGGGAACCCACATTGAACAGGAAATATTCCGCCGTTGCTGAAGAAGCGGCGTACTAGGCCACATACCATGCAGAAGAAGTTTGCGCTCAGAACTCTGCAATATCTGCAATTTCACCCTGCCGACTTCAACAACGAGTCCTTGTTCAACCCAGTGCTGAATTTTCGTGAGGTGGCCAGGTGCGTTTGCATCCCATGAGCAACTCCACCCAAATGATGACAGGTCGCAGTATCTCGGCATGAATGCGAAAATATTCAAGCATCGTGCACATCATTTTGCACAAACCTTGCGAATCAGCTGTTGGAGCTCAGCACCTCATGCTGTGGTGTCAACACTCCGTGTTGGAGCATGTGTACACCGTGTGGCTTCGTGGAGTTCGCGTAACAAGCTTTCACCACTGGTTGAATTTATCAGAGTTGTCGTAGGAAGCGAATAACGGAATAACGCAGTGAAACCGTGCTGCTGCCTGTCGTTTAAAACCGTCTAGATACTAGATACTAGGTTACATGCAGTAATTGCCGTAATTGAAGGGAAGGTGGTGCTAGCCGAGGCAGTGGCTGCATCAACAGCAAAGAGCATCAAGCGGTCAAGCTAGAGCCATAGCTGTCGTAGTGGCATATCTAAGCAGCATTCCCCGGCCTGGCTTCGCACTTTCGGTGCTTGGCGCCTTGGAAGCATCGGTGGTGCACCGACTAAGTTCAAATCACTCAAGCCGTGCGCCACACTGACGGCTGAGCCGAGCACTGCTTTCGTCGACTCTGCTGCGGTCGTTGTACTTGCAGCAGCGGCAACAGGGGCAGCCCCTGACAACAGTGAGGAGGGAGAGCGGCTATGCAACCTTTCCACAACAACCTGAGGGTGATGTCGACAACATCGAAAGTGTTGGATGGTGCGGTGTTGACAGTGCATTGCAAGCGATTACGTACATGAGGGAAGAATCGGCAGCCTGTCGAGCTCGCCGGTTTGCGCACTATGTACACCACAGGTAGCTTCTCCTCTCCGCCTGGCGAAAGCTGACCCAAGGTGGTCGCAGTGTGGCTATTGCAGCTCAATGCCCAAGCGGCCCTCCGTCCTCCACCGAGTTCACTGAGTATCGTGGCAGCCTTCGCAAGCGATTACAATGAAGTTGCCGAGCAAAACCAACTCAAGGGTCCTTCAATGGCTTGCCCCGGCTGACGATGGTAATGAGCTGGCTCTCGCAGCCCTCCCTTTCTGCCTGGGCCAAAACTTGCCACAAAAGCTTGCTTTGGGGAAGCACTGCTCCCCGGCTTAGGCAATTGCCAGCTGGACCGCTAGCTCGTTGACAGTCGCCGAAGCCGGCAGTGTCAAGTCGAAAGAAGCTGCCGCGTCGCCCGCCACAGCCTTTGTACAGCACTCGCAAGCCAGTCGATTCCTGGTCCTGGGTTTTTTCAACTGCCCGCACGAGACTTAAAACTTGCGAAGCCTTCTTGACGTGCAAGGTGACAGACTGCTGCGTTCCTGGCCAGTTGTGGTGCAGGAGTGAAGTCCGTCTTGCAAGAACTCATGGCTGCTGGAGCTCGCACTCTTGCCCCTGCTCGTCGACAAGAAGCTCCAGCAAGCAAACCCACACTTGGATGCAGGAGCTCAGCTCTTAGATGCCCCAAATGCACGACACTGTTGAAGGAACTTCCTCGGAAATGCTGCTGACAGAATGAAACCTCAAAGAAACGCGGGCTCTTTTTTCTGACTCGGCTTCCCTTGAGGATAGCTGACGTACATTTACGTGCCTGCGCCCGTCGACATTACATAATGTGCTGCTTGCCCCCTGCCATTACCACTAAGCCACTGAATGGATTACCTTACTCTGCCACCACCTGTGCCGCTGCTGCTCGTGTTGCATTGGCTGGCGTCCATCCAGACTGAGTTCAATGTCAAAGGCTTGGCGTGCTTTCTCGTGCTTTAAATCATATCCTGTCCGTTCCGCACCTGTCAGATGAGGGTCTCTACGTTTCATTGTGATATTATGGTCTGTTTCTTTCCTATACTTCCGCAGCTCGCAGCAACCCCACAGTACCTGCTAAACAAGGTTATGTTCTGACAAAGACCTTGGTGGCTGAGGCTTCCATGCAACTTACAAAGGCCGAATCTAACGTAAATTCCAGTATGCTTGAACTGATGCTGCATTGACCTGCTATCCGGGTGCAGGCATCAAATTTGGTTTTACCTCCTTCAGGTTCACACGTCTAGAGGCAGATGATTTCTCCGAGCGAAGACATGAATGTACCGGATCAACTTGTCATTCAGCGCATGTCCAAACCTTATTGATGAGGGTGATTGGAAACTATGTCTGTGCATGTATGTGTACCTACATAAACAAAAAACGCGTGTGTACATATATTTATGTATATATATATATATGTATATATATATAAACACATAATGAGCTTATATACATGAGTCCATAAGTACTAACTATGGATACATCTACATGTATTGTATACACATACAAATGTCTACATAGTAAACAAATGTGTATACTTCGCTTAAGTTTACTTTTCATATACGTATACATATATACGTACATGCATACACACATATATACACATTTGTACTTATTTGCACACATACATACATACATACATGCATACATTTGTACACATGCATGCATGCATACGTACATACGTACATACACATATACGTATACATGTAGACATAGATGCACACACACACACACACACACACACGCGCGCGCGCACGCACACACACACACACACACACACACGAACACGACACACACACACACACGAACACGACACACACACACACGACACTACTGAGCACTACTGTGGCGGGAGCACGGTTTTGGGCATGTGGAAATGTGCAGGATTGCAACGCGAGGAGAATTCGTATCTCAAAGTCCGAGCGGCATTGTGGCGGAGGAACCATGCCAAAATCATCACCCTTCAAACTTCATTGACGCCGAAATCTGGCACACCTCTCCCTTGAACCCACTGGATGCCCCGTCGAACCCGCTCACAATGCACCGGCGTGAATCTATCGGCTTTTTGCCAAGAGTCCATTGAGGATCTGCAGCATTGCTGCCAGAATCCTGGGGTTTGAATCGAGTAGGTTTTCGATTGTACAAAAGGGGGCCTTGATAATCCCAGGAATAGGGATTCGTAGTATCGTATCATATAACTCATATAGCTACATAGGGGCTATAAGGGAATACTGCTTTAAAACTTCCAAAGACCCCTTCTGCAACTCGCGGTGCCTTTTTTTGCCGTGCATCAGACGGCCCCAAGCTCCACCGTAGATCCTGTTGAGACATCTCGGGCATCAGAGTCAGAGCGCATCATCACGCTGATACCGGCAATCACCCCATAGAGACACGCCATTCGGGCTTGCGCGAGGAGCGAAGATGCCAGGATTGCCCAGATCCACAATCTCCCACCAACCGGTACATTAGTACTGGACTTCAAATCCGGAGGAATGAAGTTCACTGCTGTCGCAGGATTGAACAGGCACAGGCTGCAAGCGAGCGCAGCCACCGCGCTCAGTCCGATAATGCCGAGCTTTACCTTCTTTTCCTCCCTTCTTGAGCCCTCCCCTGCAAATTGCAGGCATATCATCGCTAGGCCGAGGGGTACCATGAGAAGCAAGAACAAGCAGAAAAGGACGATGCCCTCCATCAAGAAGAATGCAGAGAAAGGGGAGGCCACGACCAAGATGCCTCCCCAAACACTGGCCCACTTCCAAGCAGGAATTTGGCAACAGCACGTGCCACAAGTTCCACCGCAGCAGACACAGCAGCTCACAATGCTTAAGATGGCAGTAACGCAGCCCGCACACATTTGATAGTAGGCTTGGGAAGCTGCGAAGTCTGGGCAAGTGAACTCCACCGATGTGCCCGAGACCTGCGTGCGTGGTAGTGCCAGCGCCGAAACCCCGAAGGGGTCTAGAGATGTCTAGCAACTTCTGGACTCCTTCTACGAAACCTACGTATCCGCACAACCCAAAGCCACTACAGGTACTCAACCCGCCTTCAAAAAAAAAAGGGATTCGGTACCCTTTTGAACCCAGACTCTGTCGCCGAATCCACCTTTAACACCCCTAAACCCAAAGTCTACCCGGAGTTGACGGCCTTCGGCGCATCTGCATTGAACCACTGCCTGAAATCTGTTCCAATTCAGTCGTTTTGGAGATTGTTTCGGGTATAGGGTATATACGGTATAGGGGTTAGGGATGGGGTGCCATACTGATGAAACCTTGCTCGTCGCGACAAATCCACTGTTTGGTGGCGTCAATTCGCCGACCATATACTCTACCTGAATATTCCGACAGGGCTCAGGGAAATGTGTAAGTAGGTTTAAACCGGGGGTCTTATTGATAGCCTGGTTACTAGATTCCCTGAGGCCTTGAAGTAGAGAGGTCCGTGCCTACGCGGCTGTCCTAAGTCTCTGGGGCTATGCCCTTTTTTTGAGCAGGGACTGCAATGCACTAAGCCCTGGCTGAAGGGATTCAGGGGCTATGCCCTAAACCCTGAATCCTTGGCCCCGACCGCCACTGCACAAAGAGGGTTGTGAACCCGAAGCCCCCACAAGCCCCGAAAGGCCTTTCAAGCAAAGATAGGTTTAGGGTGTAGGGACCGCAAGCCCTCAACCCCTCCGGTAACCTGGGACGGCTTTACCCACCCCATGGTCAAAAATGCTCCTTTGTTGAAAAGCCCCAAACCCTCTAAACCCTAAACCACCGGCTCGGCCTAAGGCTAAGGTGTAGCGCATGGAGTGTAGGGACGCTGAATCCTCAACTTCGGGATCCTGGCCTTTCCCTGTGTTTGAAATATGTCAAAAGACCCATCCTCCAGAACAGCACCCCTACCCCAAACCCCAAAACCCTCAACCTCAAGCAAGCCCTTATAACCCCGAGAATTCCCAGGAACCCTAAACCCTAAAAGGCAACCCAGGTACGCTTCCAGGATCTTGCTGGGCTCGGGGCGCTCAGTTGGCTCGGTGCTCAAGGCCTTCCAAGAGGGTTTAGGGTAAGGTGTAGGGTTTAGGGTTTTTTTTGCCTCCTACTTGGCAGGGTTTAGGGTTTAGGGTTGAGGGTTGGCGCTCACACTCCGACAAGCCAGGCGAGGTTACTGGTGCGTAGTCTGATGAGGTGAAACACCTCCGAGAAGGTTCTGACTCTTGGTTTAAAGAGTTTAGGCTTCGGGGTCTAGTGTCTTGTGGGTTTAGGGTTCAGGATTTTTAGGGCTTTGAGGGCTTAGGGGGTTTAGGTGCTGCGGCTCAGGGTCGAGAGTTTAGGGCTTGTGGTTTTAGTTTTGGTAAGCTGCCACAACATTCGGCTGGGGGGATGAGTAGAGCAGCGCATTCATTCCAGCTTAGCTGCAGTACTGACACCTCAGCCTGTCGCCAAAGCCAGCATAATTGCGGGTTCTTGAACACTGTCCTTCTTTGGATCCTTGTCTTGATATGTGACATATCTCGTATACTTCCGGTACCCAAAAAGAGCCCACAATGTTTGAGCAACGTCAAATCTACAGCACTTCATTGATGAGCCTGCTAAGGCATTTTCTGGCAGCAATCAAGGTTTCGGGACGAGGGGTAGGAGCCTTTCTTTGAGTTCGCCGGGGATGACTGTGGGTATCCGCCGGCTTACTGCTTAAAAGCTTGCCCCCGAAATAGACCCAATTTGTCCTGCATACAAACCCCTATAAATCCCTAAACCGTTCGGTCGGTGCCTTCAAAAGTACCTCGTCGAAGCCTGTCGTCATCCAGTCATCCACCAGGGTCCAGAAGAACTTCGGCACTTGCGTTGCCTTTCGGGATTAGGGTTTGGTGTTTTGGGTTTGGGGTTCGGGGTTTAGGGTGGGGGTTGGGTTGGTTTGGTTTTTACTTGGGGGTTTCAGCACTCACGCTCGGACTCGCCTGGGCGGGGTTCCTGGTGCGTCGAAGGCACACTGGCCACAAGGTTTGTGGGTTACGGGCCTGGACGCTAGACCCTAAAACCGGGCACCAACGACTGAAACCCGGAAGCCTTTATCATGCCCCAACAACACTAAACACACCAAGAAAGCCCTAGATTCAACCTGAAACCCTAAACCCGATATTTTTGAACAGAATGACTGGAGTGCGAAACTCAGGGCCTTCAGGTCGGGAAGGGTGTAGAGGGTGGTGAGGGGCGTCTTGGAGGTGCGGCAGTGCACGAGACGCGCCCATGCTGCCTTTCGCTCATTGCCCGTTGCTTTCCGGATCGCCTCGAGACGCTCATCGAATAACCTGGTGGGTTCTTGCTGAAGAAGTGAAACCACGTTAGCATTACCATGTTCTTTGCTAGATGTCTGTATTGTGGCACTGTAGAGGGAGATTGAAGTTCCTTCATTAACAAGAACCCAGGCACTTCTTGTAGTGCTCGATGGAGACATCACCCGTACACTGGAGCAAGGCATTGAAGAACTCTTGCGTATGGGGCGTGGCCAAGGCAGATGCACAGTCCACAACCTTCTTCACAGTAGCCCAATTTGCCATTGAGTTCTGAACTCCGTTCGTTAGCAAGAATGGAAGGACGGGTACTGCGAAGAGGGAGACTCCACCTGGCATCCTTAACCCGGAATTCCCATCCGTTGCCATGCCAAGGATGGAGAGTGCAGCTGAGTGTACGTCGAAGGACCACACCGGCTCGTGCCAGCCCACTGCTGGCTGAAATAAAGAGAGGTGCGAAACCTCAGCACTGTTTGGCAAGATGCCAGATCTTTTGCAATAGCCATGTCATAGGCTAAACCGGCTAAACATAAGATCCTTGAGTGGCACTACGTACCGAACCGCAGGGTACCTTAAAGAACTCCTGAGGTTGTATATGGGCATGCTGCAGGAGGCTTTGGAAATATCTGGGATTTGCGGTTTGCGACCACATCTTTTCAAGCCCAATGGAAAGCAGCAGCCCATGCTTCAGATCTGGGGTGTTCGCTTGACACCGAAATCGCCTTTTTGCAACGGCCTTGTCAGACACCGAAATCGCCTAAACCCTAAACCCTTGTTGCAACAGGCCTCGTTGTCTAGCAGGTCGGTCTAGCCAAACCCTATGGTAAACCCCAAGAAGTTGGAAACCGGATTAAGAGCAATTAGTGCTGGGCTTTACTGTCAATTGAGGCTATTTGGTTTTCAACTTGTGGGCATCTACTGGAAATCCTACAGCTGAATCCTGACTCGACACCTCGGGGGGTCGGAAGACTGGGGTGGTGCCAGCGAGCCCTTCCGGGCACAGTGACCCCTTGCAACGCACGGTGCCCATATCGACGATGACCGTTTCACCGGTGTCCTTCCGGACTTTGCGCTTCGTCCCCTACCCAGTCATACCAGGAAAGCCTCCCCTCCCCCTTCACGCGTCCATGATGTGTACGCAAGAGGCGGGCCCTCAAAGATACTTGCGGGATATTGCGCCCAGTTTTGGGAAGCTTTGAATGAATTTCGAGGGGACCTGTGGGTTTTAGGGTTCGTTGCGTTAACTATAGTATAAGATTCTGGCCCAAATAACTACCAATAATAATAAGAACTCCGCTCACAGTGATCTTGCATGACGACAGCAAGGTTGCTGCTACCACAACCAATGATTTCTGAGTCCACTGTTTTATGTCACGGACTTATGTATTGTCGGCTATATTAGCAGAGCCGAAGAAACACTCGAAGCAGGAAAGAGACTTCGAGCAACAGTAGCGCTGTACTCTTTCTGTACTTTGCGCGAATCGCTGCTACTATGTACTCGGATTATCAAAAAGGTTATTCATTATTCAAGTTATATTTTTCTGAATATTAGGACTACTGTGAGGAATTAATGGCATACGACCCTCGCCTCATTGATCACCATATTCTGAGGTTTCAGGTCCATATGAACCCACTTGTTGGCGGTCTTGCTCTCAGCCATGAACCGGAGGCCGAGGTAGACGCCCTTGGACACAGACTTCAAATGTTGCACATAGAGGGCATCATCGAGGTTCTGCTTCAGCTTCTTCCCCCACCATTTGTCCACATCGTCGCGGCCAGCATAGCTCATTTCGATGTAATATGGTTGACTCTGAACAGTTTGGCCTGCCGTATAGACTACATGCGAGTGTAAACAGCAACATGAAATTAAGGGTACTTGGCACATACACATCTCACTTCGCGTGAAAGTCATACTAGTAGCTCGCCACACTCTGAACAACAACGTCACCTGACCTGTGATGCCATCGTAGAGGCACTTGACCACGTGATCGGATGCCTCCGTGTCCAAATTATCGGCCTCATGGATGCCTCAGTTCAGTGACCCAGTCCGGTGCCTTACTATACTATACTATACTATACTAGACTAGACTAGACTAGACTAGACTAGACCAGACTAGACTATACTATACTAGA